AGCCTCACGCCCGATGTCCACGTTTATCCAACCCGGCACAATTCGGCGCCCAGAGCGTAATGAACGTTCTGTTGGAACGAGGAGTCCCAGTCGTCCCGTTAACGACGACCTTCCGAGCACATCCATTGTTGAATGACCTCCCGAACTTAGTTTTCTATGAGCACCAGCTAGTCGACGGAACTCAAGCAGAAGAACGCCAACTCTTTTTGTCGTCAGTGCGGTGCCCGAACCCACACTTGCCGTTCCTGTTCGTAGACGTCCCTGGAGAATCGACCAAGTCACTCAGCGGTTCGCATAGTAATTCAGCAGAAGCCGAAGTTTGTCGCCAGATCGTCACCAGCCTCCTAAAGAAGGACGTCCCGCCCGCATCGATCGCCATCATAGTCTTCTATAAGGAGCAATCCCGGACCTTAGCGCACTTCGCCCGCACCTCATCCGTAGATCTTCACACAGTGGACTCCGTTCAAGGCCGCGAGAAGGACATAGTCATACTGTTAACGACCCGGACGAAGTTCGACCCATCGCGTGGAGAGTTTCTCAACGACCCGCATCGTCTCAACGTCGCACTATCAAGATGCCGACATGGCCAATTTGTACTAGGTCACGAAAAGTCTTTGGCAGGCTTGTCCTATTGGGCTGATATCCTCCAATGGGCTAATAACCGCAGGGCCGTTACTACAGCAGCGGCTCTCCCAGACCTTCTAGAATAGTCGGCTCACTTCGTGTCTTTCAAACAAAAGGTGAGCTTTTTCTTTTCGCGCCGTCCCAATTTTTAAGTCCGAGGACGGACTTTTTTGGAATGAGGGGAGGTGTAAGAGAGTGCATGAAGTGTGAGAGACCACGGGATACTGTAGGTGTCTGTAGGTGGAGGAGTGACCGTAATCCTAAGAGTAGTGGAGCGTGGGAAACACGGCTGTCTGGAAAGGAAGTGTCTGAGAAGTTAGATCTTATCAGCTGAGTAGGGTTCTAGTCGAAAGTGGGAATCATAGATCAAAGGGGAGCCGCTTTTCTCATTGTGCAACATTGCTTAACCTCGCGCGTGGGAATTTCTACTCACTGTATCATGACTCATCTCATCACGCGTATTTAAGGCTCGCCGACGTCTTCTCGTGGAGTACTCCCGTCAACGTCTGCGACCTACGATCCAGCTCGCCGTTCGCTGCAATTGCACCTCCCGTCTGTCACCTCTGGGCCCATCGCCTTCCCAACCGTAGTACCACGACTACTCAACACCGCAGCCGATCTCCAGTTATTCCGACCGGACTGATCTCCATTTACCTCGCACATACTGATAAAAGATCTATTATTATTCGTGTTAAGCAGAAGTATAAGACCTACGGTGCGGGGATTTCGCACCAAGATTACTGGTAGCAGCGAGTTTTGACGACAGGAGGATAGGCAAAAGGTAAGTAGGTATGTTGGTTCCGATGAACCTCAACGAGAAAACGAAGCTTGATCACCTTCGTTTTGTGTGATTGTGACCTTTTGACCTATGTGAACGGCGGCTGCCTCACATCGATTACTGCGTAGTTATTGTAGTTTATTGGTATTGATCGCCTCCATTTATTCCTTATCTTTATGCATCATATACCCTTTTGCTTCTCTTATTTCTTATTCTTTTTCCTCTGTGAGGAATTCTACTCTGTCGGAAGCTTCCCATACAACAAAATCCTCTGAACTCGAGTTCTTTTCTTTATCAGTGAAGTATAATTTCCCCCGGGGGCCCGAAGGCCTTTAAACTAGAGCACTTTGATAGTGATATGAAGTTGTGAGCGAGCACAGAGTTCAACGAATTCAGTGAGTTTCGTGACAATAAGGATCACATGTGTTGGTGAAGATATTGTTCGACGTCGAATACAAATAAACTGGCGCCAGTTGTGTAATAAGGAGAGGAGAATTAAGAAGAATTATAGCAGTTGAAGTGTTATTTTGAGTTATGGCTAGCCGATATAAGCTCGCTCTTTGGATCAGTTATGATAATCGCTCCGAAACATTTGCCCGATGGCAGTAAACTAGAGCTCCACTTATTGCACGTTTTCTCCGTGTATCTTTTCTTTACCTTTATTACTTTTATTATCATTTGTGTTGCTATTTACTCGTTTTTCTCCACATTATGAATTGGCCGTTGTAACGCGGCAGGTAAAACCAGCGGCAGGTACGCCGCATGGAAATAGGGTATTTGCGCCTTAACGCGACCCGCAGGTTTCGCTCGCCTCTGAACATTTTGGCACCTGTACGGTATACTTGCTCCTTAAAAGGTGTTTTCGGAAAGGAAACGCCGGAATTTTTGCCTGGAAGCTTAGCTTCCGGCATAATTTTGGAGAGAGACGGTCTTCGGTCGTCTCTGGGACTCTCTTCGAGTTTAGTACGGGATCGCCGTTCTCTTCGTCGAGGACCTCTGCAATCTCTCCGCCGCAACAGTCACTTGCCGTCGTTACCGTAACCCGGCTCTTTGTCTGCAGCCGGCGCGGGCTCTTGCGACTTCTCGCCGTTCCCATGAGATAAGATCTTCTCGACAGTCTCGCGCACAGAATGTTTACAGCTTCAAGTCGGCTC